GCCACAGTGGTGTAGTACGAAGCTGTTGAACACCACACTCATGTAGAAACTTCGCAAACCCTTCCGAGTTGAAAGGTGGGCCATTATCCGTACGCAAACTCGTCGGGATACTGTGTCGGCTGAACTGGGCTTCAATCATCGGAATCACAGCTTCAGCTGATGTTGACTTGACCACATCTACTTCGAAATATCGACTGTAGTAATTTTTTTTTTTTTTTACTATTATTCACAAACCCAACTCGTAAAATAAATAATTATGTGGACAAAAACAAACAGCTACTGAGCAGGGGCTGCACTGGGCAGCAGTGATGGTGAGGTACCAGGGGCTCCACCGACCAAAGGTCTCGGCTTCAATGCCACAAGCACGCACCAGGAAAAAGAAACAGAAATGTAAAGCAAAGCTAGATCTAGCTATGGGGAAGGAGAATGGGTAAAAGTACCGGTAGAAGTTTAGAAAAATAAAAACAAGATGAAAAGAGATTGTTTATTATCAGTGTTTGGACTGATGTACAATGTACATGTCAACTTCGTCAACCAAAACTTATGAACTTTTTTAATAGATCTGAAACGAAACTCCCACAAAGAAGTGCAAAGAAAACAAGCTAAAAAACAGAAAAATAATAAGGCACCCGTTTTGATAATCCAGGGGATGGCCCACGCCTGGTAAAAGAATAAGCAGAGAAAAGAAAAGAATCATAACAAGTTTTTCCATGTATGCAAAACACAGCTGAGCACTCTGAGCAAGGCCAGGTACGCGGATTAGCGGGTCCGGCAAGCGACGAGCTCGAAAAATTACAGGGAATCTGTTGCCCAGTACCAGTTGCTGTCTCTCAGGTGTCGGTAGACCTTTGTCTTGAATGACTGAAAACGTGTTTTGTGTGGGCGCTGCGACAGCAGCCTGTCAGGAAGGGAGTTCCATGCGCCAATACAGCAGTACGGGAACGACCGCTTCACGACGGATGGAGCTGAGACAGGGAGCGTGTCTGACAGTTGATAGGCGTGGCTGGTGGCATTATTGTGCTGGTTCCTGGTTCTGGGGTTGGCTGGAGAAACGCGATGCGGTGGCAATATAGCAAGTAGCTGAGGAGGACCAGTAATGAAATGCAATTTGTACATGCACGAGAGAGCAGCAACAGTCCGGCGGACAGCCAGACTGGGGAGAATTGCACCAGGGCCAATGATGCGCAGTGCGAGGCGTTGAACATTATCCAGACGTTGGATGTGGCTGGCTGGTGCGCCCATCCACACAAGCGGGGCATACTCCATCAGGGGCCTCACGAATGCCTTGTAGACAGTCGTTCGGCCAGCTGGCGTTAGAATGTGGGCCGCTTGTCGGAGAAAGCCGAGGCGCTGCTGGGCGCGGATGGTCACGGTCCTGAGGTGACTAGCGAAGGACAATTTGGAGTCAAATCGAACACCAAGCAGTGATATGCTGGTTTCCTCCGGTACAGGGGTACCACCAAACAGGATTTGGGGCAGGTCTAGGTCAGTGCGTCGGAGGGTAGCAGTCATAGCCTGCGACTTGCTGGGCTCGAAAGACACTTTCCACCGGCAACCCCACTCATGCAGGCGGTTTGTGGATACCTGCAAGGTGTGTGCAGCGTCCCGAGGGCACTGAGCTGAGGATACTAGACTGTATAGCGTCGTATCGTCCGCGTAGGCCTCAAGCTGAGCATTGCCATCAAGAACATCGGCAGCGTCATTCACGTATATTAGAAACAACGTAGGGTCCAAATATACTGCCTTGAGGCACCCCTGCAGAGATTGGGTAGAGAGAAGAAATCTGACCGCCGACTAAGCACTGGAGTGAACGGCCGTCAAGATAAGACGATAGCCAGCTATGGAGAGTGCCAGTAATGCCGAGCTGCCGGACCTTGTAGAGGAGGCCCACGTGGGAGACCCGGTCAAAGGCCCCGGCTATATCGACTATATCGACTGCGAGAATTCGTGCCGCGCCACCTTGGCCAACGATGTCCACCCAGGCGTTATGAAGCGCCTGTAGTGCATCTGCCGTGCCGAGACCTCTACGGAACCCAAACTGGTGGGGAGTGAGGAGCTGCTGGCGCTCAAGATGGTTCAACAGTTGGCGATTGACAACAGTTTCCATTACTTTGGACATTATGCATAATAACGAGACTGGGCGGTAGTTCTTCAGAACAGAGCGCGAGGACCGTTTGTGGATCGGTACCACGTTAGCTGTCTTCCAAGATTCTGGTCGAACTCCGCACCTGAAACAGAGAGCGAATAGCTGGGACAAAGGCTTCGCAAGTTCTTTGGCACACTCTTTCAGGACCCGGGCTGAAATGCCGTCAGGACCAGTCGCCTTTGATATGTCGAGTCGCGCTAGCAGACGGTAGACAGTGGCGGGGCGAAAATGAACGGCTGCGAGTGCCGGTGCTCCGGTTGCAACAAGGTCAGGTAAGTCGTCAGAAGTAAGATCCTGGCCAGTGACACTGCACTTCCTGGAGAAGAAGGTGGCAAAGGCCTCCGATTTCTCATGGCTTGTTGCCAACTCCCGTCCGCCCGCATCAACAATGAGAGGAATGTCCGTGTTACGTCCGTCCCCACTAGCATACTTTAACTTGGTCCACCATTTTTTGTCCTTGAGTGAGCCCGTGGACAGGCTGTGACGGATACTGGCCTCTTTAGCTTCCTGGGATCGCCTTAGGATGTTGACGGCTGAGGTAACGGAGCGGAGGAAAGCTTGTTTGAGTGAAGGATCGTTCGGGTGTTTTCTCCAGGAACGCCAACGTTTGTCCTTTTCCCTCATAGCAGCTGTACATTCCGGCGTCCACCATTTTGGATCACTCGGCCTCGTGGTAAGTTCCTTAGATGGGACAAACCTGGCTATTGCGCCTCTGATAGTGGAGGTTACCCGCGCACAGGAGGTGTCCGGGTCATCAGTTATGATGTCGTGCCATGGAGAGTTGCGAAGGAAAGCTCAGAGGCGATGCCAGTCTGCGCTCTTGTACCGCCAGACAGTTCGCTTTGCTGCAGGCTCGTGGCAAGATAATTATGCCTACGAAGTCGGATAGAACGATAACGTGGTCAGACCGCCCAAGAGGGGGTGTGGCGGTTGTCAATACTGGGGAGTTGAAGGTAGACATCACGAGGTCAAGGGTATTGTCGCCACGAGTAGGAGTCTGAACGTGCTGCGTAAGGAGGTGCGCGGCACAAGTGTCCTCAAGTGCTTCGCCCGCCGGTGTGGTCTTTGAGCTGTTTAGCCAGGCACGGTTGTGAACGTTGAGGTCCCCAGCAAGAATGAGACTAGCGCCGTGTTGACGGGCCAAAGGAAGGGTGTCGTCGAGATGATGGATAAGTGAGAGGTCACCGGGCCCGCAAGAACCCGGCCGGTAGACACCTCCCAGGACAATCTTGTGCCCGGCGCTGAGCTGGATGGATACCCACAAGACTTCATGCTGGGGGGCGGCCAGTTCATCGATGATCAAGGCTGGGAGAGTAGATCGCACCCAGATTGCAACTCCACCACCGTGTGCTGTGCGGTCAAGCCTGAATGGAGGGCTATAGCCCGGGAATATCGTGTCCGACACTTGGACCTTCTCTGTTGTGAACTTTGTTTCGGTTACCACTGCGACGTCAGGGTTGTGCTGTAGCAACGCGTGCTGGAAGTCGCCTAACTTGCTACTTAACCCGAACGCATTTGTGCACAAGAGGCGAAATGGAGCAACCATGGAAGAAACAACAAGAAAAAAACGAAAAGCTAAAAAATACCAAAGTGTAAACCTAGAGCTAAAGTTCTTAAAAACAAAAAAAGTCCTGAACGTGTTTCTAAGATTTAGAAACGCCAAGTGTTCTGCTTGCTGCCAGCTGGACCCTTTCTCTTTTTCTTTCTTCCACGGACTTCGGTGAATTCGGTTTCAGCTGAGGGGGAGGTCGAGCTTCGCTGCCGTTTGCTGTTGGTGCCTGCTTTGCTGTTGCTCTTAGCGCAGTCAGCCAGTAGTGCCATTGCTCTGTCTTCGTCACTAGCAGGATCAGAGTGGGCCAGAGACGTGGTGGGGTCAGGCTGCGGTGGGGAGGGGGTGGGGGTTCCTCCATCTGACTCCTCAGCCCAGCTGCTGTCGGGGGACAGAGCTAGAGTGAAGTCCGGCTCACCTTCAGTGCGTCCCACTGAGGCAGATTCGGGTTCCCTGGATGCATCCCTTTCGGCATCCGATCCTCCTGTAGCAGATCAGTCCGAGTACGGTTTGTCTGACCCCACGCCACTAGCACTGGCAAGCTGGCGGTTGGCTGTCGTAGCCGAGGGAGGCTGCTGATCCAATGAGCTTGGACTTCCCGCCTCTCGTCCTGCTACTCTTTCTGCATCCGACCCTCCTACAGCAGATGAGTCCTGTTTGTCGGACCCCACGCCACTGGCCAGTTGGCGGTTGGCTGGTGGACCCCGACCCCATGGATTTGTCGTACTCCGTGTGTGGGTGAGGCGATTTGGACAGGCCTTTGCCTCATGTCCGCCTTGCTGACATCGAAAACATTTTTGCGTTTGACCTGGGTACCAAACCCGTACCGTAGTACTACCGGAACCTATACGCACAGTAGACGGCATGCTCTTCTTCAAACTCATCCTTGCATGGCGGGTTCCCGTTTCGATTGAAAAATCACCATGCTCCACGATCTTTCTTGTTATTGGGCCATGAATATCTCCAAATGCCCCCAAAGAACTTGCAACTGCTCCATCATGTAAATGCAATGGGCATCCAAATACCAATACTGTGATTACACAGTAACAGGTACAGCCTTACCGCTTATTGACAAGCCGGAGGATACAAGCCGGTCGCGTGCGGCTCCACAGGACAGTGCTACGAGGCACCAGCCAGGCTTCCCTTGTAAATCCACCTGCTTCAGCTCAGCAGGGCTAACTCCATTTTTGGACAGTTCCTCTATATAGAAAACGTGATCTGACGGCCACTCAGGCTCTCTTCTAAACAGTATGGAAGCGGACGCAGGAGCGCCAAAACTGCTCCCACCCGCCATGACTACAACTTTTACTCCACAAGCACCACAATGTGCTCGCCAGACGGTAGTGGACCCAGCAAGTCAACAGCCAAATGCTGCCATGGCGCATCTGGAAGAGGAGTGGACTTGACTGGCGGTGCATTGGCTGGCGCTGCAACCACTTGGCAGGCATGACACGACTTGCAGAGCTTCTCGGCCTCGCTGTCCATGCCTGGCCACCAAACCTTGGACCGTAGACGCTCTTTCGTCTTCACGATGCCCTGGTGGCCCTCATGTGCCAACTGCACGGTCTGGTGTCGCAACTCTGTAGGGATAACAATGCGTTGACCTCTGAGCACCACCTTGCCAACAACAGTCAATTCTCCTCGGACCTGACGGTATGCTGCTGGCAGACCATCCCAAGATCCGTCGTGAAGGCACTTGCGAACAGCAGATAGCTCTTCATCTTCAGCTGAGCTACGTTCAATCGTTCTGATACCGATAGCGATGGGTGCTGCTGTCTGAGTGATAAGTCTAACCGACTCTTCATCACTGCTGATTCCTGGATCCGCCGCTGCAACGGGCAGGCGAGATAAAGCGTCAGCGATGTTCGTCTTTCCAGGAATGTGCTTGACTCGATAGCTGTACGGCTGTAGGCGCAGAACCCATCTCTCGATCCTGGCACTGGGCTTGGATCTTGCCGAATAAATCACTTCCAGCGGCTTATGGTCGGTGCAGAGTGTAAACTCCCTGCCAAGCAGATAGGTGTGAAATCGTTCACACGCCCAGACAATACCAAGAGCCTCTCGCTCGGTCTGCGAGTACCTCCGCTCTACCGCTGACAGTGATCTGCTCGCATACGCAACTGGCCGCCAAACACCATCCTGCTTCTGGACAAGCACAGCTCCGAGCCCAACTAGACTGGCATCCGTCACTTACTCGATCGGCGCTTCAGGATCATAGTATGCCAGTGTTGAGCTGGACACCAGTAGTCGCTTCAGGTGGTCGAACGCTTGCTGTTGCTCTGTAGTCCACTTGAACTGAGCTCCCTTGACCGTGAGGCGACGCAGTGGCTCAGCAACTGTAGCAAAATCAGGGATGAATTTTGCACTGAAACCGGCTGTACCGAGGAAGCTTCTTACTTCCGACGCATTGCTCGGCCTGGATGCTTCCGCCAAGGATTGTATCCTTTCCGGAGTTGACTGTATGCCCTTGTCAGATATCTGCAAGCCGAAGAACTCAATGGAGCTCTTAGCGAACTCACACTTTGCTGGGTTGACTGTGAGGTTGACCTGCTGCAAGTGATTCATCACTGCATGAACCCTCACATCATGCTGGTTCAGTGAGTCCGCATGTAGCAAGATATCATCAGCTCCGTTTCTGCAACCGGCCAAATCCTTGATCACATCGCTGATGATCTTCTGGTACAGCTCTGGTGCTGAACTTATACCAAATGGCAGTCGACGAAACCGGTACAACTTCCCATTTGCAGCAAAAGTTGTCAGGTAGCGGGACTCTTCTTCCAACTCTACTTGGTGAAATCCCCACTTCAGGTCAATCTTCGAAAACACCGTGCTGCCATTGACTTCATGCAGCAACTCCTCTGTTGTTGGCATCGGATGTCGTTCTTGGACGATGGCTTCATTGACCCGGCGTAAATCCACGCACAAACGGATGTCGCCATGCTTCTTTGGTGCTATCACAATTGGGCTTACCCACGGCGTCGGGCCCACAGCTTCTTCAATAATTCCTGATTGCTGTAACTCCTGAAGTTTTTCATCCACCTTGGTTTCATACGCATACGGTATCCTACGCTGGCGTTGGGCCACAGGTGGAACTTCAGAGTCTACATGAAGGCGTGCTTGGTAGCCAATTAACTTGCCCACACCACTGAACACACCAGGATACTCATTCTTGATTTCATCGTGGGTACTGGGGCTAGCTGTGGCGCTGCCAACTTGATTCACGTCAGGTAGCACCAAGGCCTTCAACTTGAGTGCAGTACTACGTCCCAGCAAGAACTCTCCATCTCCTCTGACGACGATCACTTCGTCCTCAGTGCGCTCTGAGCCGCATTGGAAAATTGCAGTAAACTTGCCGACGACATTCAGCTGGTGTGCTCCATACGCGAAAAGCTTCCTGGTGCACTTCGTCAAAGTGACACCGAGGCCTTGCAATTGCAGCTGGCCCAAAGTCGATTCTCCCAACAAGTTGCATGATGCTCCAGAATCGACTAGCACTCGCGTCGACACACCATTGAGGCTGACATCGATAGAGGCCTAGCGCCTGTGCCAAATAATTACTTCCTCGCACTCCAAACACAAAATCGTCTACATCTTGAATTTGATTTGCCGAGTGATTTTCTTTTCTGTACAAACTTGCCTTTCCCGACGACTTGGGAGCGTGACGCGTGCTGCCTGTACGCTGTTTGTCACCTCCGTTGCATTTGGATGCGAAGTGACCGTTTACGCCACACTTAAACTCTACTCTACTACACCTTTGGCCACGTGCAGGACAGTTCCGGTCGCGGGCGAAGTGGCCAACTTTTCCACAGTTAATTGTGACACCCTTGCTGGGGTACGCCGTGCACAGCATTCACACTTCCTGGTGCAGCTTCACCCGTACCGTACGAACTGGACCCATGCCCATCATGGCTTGCACTGTGACTTGCACTTGTACTTGTCAGTAGAGAGGTTCCGGGGTACGATTTTCCGTGCCAAAATCCGTATGGGCGCTACGGATTTTTTCCAGGCGTGCCCCATACGATTTTTCGGCACGAGAATCCGTGTGGACTGGCTTTCATACGAACCATGCTTCGTATGGGGATTTTGCGTCATCGGGTGCAGAAAGATTTTTCGCGTACAAATTTGGTGCGAGAAACATCGATTTTTCGCGGGAAGTTTTGATTTCGGTACAAATTTTCAAAATAAAAAGGCATAGCGCGGGAATGTGACGTGTTTGCGATCGTCACCTAGGCAATGACGGCACACACATAAGTTCCGTACCCCGGAACTTTTCACTGCTCGAAAACGACGTATAAAAAATCCGTAGAGCCTCCACGGATTTTGGCACGAAAAATCGTACTCCGGAACCTCCCTAATGTTGACATATCACGTGCGTGCTGCACCGTTGTTTCATACTCGCGACCTTTTTTCAAGGCCACCGCCAAAGTGAGGTCGTCGACTTCTAACAATTTCTTTCTGAGGCGATTGTCCGATATCCCTATGAGGAGCTGGTCGCATACATGATCCTCCATGTCGGTGCCATAGTCACAGTATTTGCCTTGCCCAAGCAAACGGGTCGAAAACTGAGATACTGTTTCACCAGTCCGTTGTGACATCTGACGAAGCTTATACCGTTCGAACCTCTTGTTGGCCACGAACTCAAACGCCTTGTCCAAAGCACTCACGGCTCACTCGAATAAATTGTCGGTGTCCTCATCTTCTGTTAGCGTTTCGAATTTCTCCTGTACTGGCATATCAGCCAAGTACAGCAACAGACTCCTCTGCCTCTTCGCGGTTGTGATGTTCTGCCCATCCACATAGTACTGGAATGATCTCTTCCACCTGCGCCATCTTGCCGAAACATCATGGGCAGGACCCTCGAGATCGAACGGCTCCAAAGCCGGGCCTACTCCTGTGAGCGCCATTGTCACTGAGACCTACTCAGGTCATCTATATGACTATAACTATTAAATCCAGTTCATCTTCGTCGCCAATGTAATGTTCTGGGACATTATTATTATTACAGAACTGGTCAAACCAAAGCACTAACAAAGACAAAACTAAAGACCAAGAACCAGGAACATAAAGCACAGAGAAAGGGAACAAAACAGATACACATATAAATATCGTACAAGATACTATAATAGTACAATACTATAATATAGTATTAACCAGGAGGCCTGCAACATCACAGGTCGTGTCGTCAGCAAACAGAGACGTTCCAGGGAAGACTGCAGGTAAGTCGTTTACGTAAATTATAAATAGTAGGGGACCAAGAATTGATCCTTGAGGAACGCCCGACAATACTGGCTCTCCAGCCGAGGATGTGCCAAGCACAGTTACGTACTGATAACGCCCAGAGAGATAAGATTTCAGCCAGGAGAGTGGTTGTTTGCGTACCCTGAATGCATGCTCGAGCTTTGCCAAAAGTCCTCGATGCCAGACGGTATCAAAAGCCTTGGCCAAGTCAAAGAAGCAAATGCCAGCAAGCGCTCTGTTATCCCTATGCTGGCACACCTGCTGCACGATGTGGGTCAGTTGAAGAGAGGTGGAGTCGCCTTTACGAAACCCAGATTGTGCGGGACTCAGAAACGGCGTAACATGTCTGTATAAGTGGTCATAAAAGATGCGTTCACATACTTTGGACACGCAAGGAAGAAGAGAGATAGGGCGGTAGTTTGCAGGTTCGTGGCGGGAACCTTTCTTGAATACAGGTATGACTTTCGCTGTTTTCCATGCGGAAGGGAATATGCCCGTGGTAAATGACATGTTGAAAATATGGCACAAAGGGAATGCTATGGATGGTGCCAGGGCCTTGAGGACCCGGTTGGGGATGCCGTCAGGACCAGACGCCTTGCACGTCGGAAGCTTCTTCAGATGACGCCGGACAGTGGCAGTTGTGGTGATGACGGACGTGAAACAAGCTGAGGGCTCCGAGGGGGTGAGAATAGGGGGAATAGAGAGCAACGGGTCATCTGGCCGAGTCACAGAGGCAAACTGGGCGTTTAATGCCGTAGCTTTGGCCAAAGGGTCAGCCGCCTGCTGAGTCCCTGTTGTGAGTGACGGAATTTCCCGTGATACGTTTCGAATTCTTGCTTGTCTCACAAACTGGTGAAGCGATGGACGGTGTCTACCCTGCAAAGTAGTTTTCACTGAGCGGATATAAGCTCTGTACTTTGTCCGCGTCAGGGTTTTCACTATATTTCGCTGCTGGTGGTATGCTTGTTTGTTTTGTTGTGTTGGGTACTTCCTAAAAATGCTATAGAGATCATATTTCCACTTGATTGCTGTGCGAAGATGGGCATCAACCCAGGGTGGCTGACTGGGCCGTGGGCAGCGGTGAGAATACGGCTGCTTTCCGAATGGCCAGAGGTGCTTCTCAAGGGCACTGTTGAGAATGGAAGAAAAGTGTGAAAGCGCATCATCGACGTTGCTGGCACGCAGGTGCCAGCTCCAGTCAATATCAGAGAGCTCTGCATTCACACTATCCCAGACGGAAGATGGCACGGATTTAAAGTCATATTCCGGCTTTGCAGGAACATTGCTGAAGTGGCTTCGGGGTGCAGCAGC